TTTTATATCTCTTATACTGCTTCTATCTTATATTATATAATCATTGTTAGTCTATACATATCTAGATATCTTTTATTATCTTTATAATCTTATACTATATTATAGATATATCTCTATATTTATATTTTGGATTGCTATTATCAACTCATCTCTCATCTCATATAATATATATTTCGATATAATATATCGATATATATATATATATATACTATATCTATTTATATATATATATATATTTAATATACTTATATCAATATATAGCTTATAGTTATATACAGATCATATTATATCTACTATATTTCAATCCATATATATATATATATAATATAATTCTCTATATCTATATATAATATATATCTCTATTTATATCCATATTATACTCTCTCGAGTATACATCCTCATATAATATTATCTATATATATCTAATATCACTACATATCTATATCTATATATCTATATCTATATATCTAGATCAATCTCTCATCCATATATATCATATAGATACTATATATTTATATATATCTCATCTATTTCTATATATAGCTATATATTATATTATTATTTCTATACATATATAGTATATATATATATAGATAGATAGATCTAATTTTATCATACATATCGATACGATATAACTATAGATCATACTATTATCATTAAATATCTTATATTATATTCATATATATCTATATTTATATACATCAGATATATAGATATATCTATCTATATTATATATATCTATATATCTTTATCATACATCCTCTCTATACGATATATTCATATATATCATATTCTCTACCAATAATTTATATACAATATTAGGCTATAATATATAATGATATATATCTATATCATGTCTATGTCCATATCTAATATTACTATCTATATATATCTAATCTACTCTACTACATATATATATATTATACTATATCTATATATATATCTCTATATATATATTACCTATATCTAATATCTATATCTCTTATATCTATATATATATCATATAATATATTACTGTCATATACATATATATATCTCTATATATATCGATATATATGATACATCATATATAGATATATATATATCCTCTATGTCGATCTCATATCTGTTCTCTCTATGTATATCTTATCTCTTATCTCTCTATAGCTCTACGGATAGGTATCTCTATCTATATACTCTCTTCTCTATATATTATCTCGATATATTCTCTCTATCTATCTCTATCATCATTCTGTATATGTATTCATATCTTTCCTTATCTTATCTCATGTCTATCTGGCTTCTTATTATACACTCTAGATTATTTATACTCTATTATTTTATATCTCTCACATCTATCTCTGATCTCCTCTCTTTGTTCACTATCTATTTCATCTACTCTATATATATATTATACTACTTTATATTTATATATATATATATAATATTATATTTATATTATCTCTTATAATATTAAATATATATTTTATACATAATATTATAATTATTTATCTCTAGTATATATATAATATATATATATATTCTATATACTTAGATATATATATGCATACTATATCTTTAATTCATCTATATGTATATTATATGTGTATTATTCTTAGGTATATATATATTATCGTATTACATCTAGATTTTTAGATTCTATATATTCATATATATCAATATCATATATCTATCTATTTTCTTCTATCTATCTATCTACCTATCTATCTACAACATTATATATATATATTATATATATATTTATATCTATATATACATATATATATATATATTATATATATATATATATATATATACTATATATCTATATAATTATATATATATATATATATATAATAATCTATTTACTATATAATACTAGATATATATTATTATATTTATATATATATTTCATCTGTAGCATATATCTCTACATATAATCTATGTTTAGATTGTATTTCTTGTATATTATATGTATATTATATGTATTATATATGTCTTAGATCTGTATTATATTATATATATATCTATATATATTTATATTATATATATATATATATATATTACATGTATTGTATTCATTTACACATATATATATATATATTTATATATATATATAATTATATCTACATATATATATATATATATATATACTCTATAGCTATATTATAATATATATATATCTTATCTATATATATATCATATATATCTATATATATACCTTCTATCTCTATCTATAGCTCTCTCTCTATATCTATATATATTTATATATATGTTATCTATATCCATATTCCATGTATATTATTATATCTCTCTCTATATATATATATCTCTCTATCTATATATATATATCTACTTATCATACATATCTATATACATATATATATCCATATATCTAATACATATATATGCTGTTATATTGATATTATTATTTATATATATTTTTCTTTATATACTTATATTTATCTATATTTATATATATATATGTATATATATGTATATATATATTTTATAATGAATTTATATTATTATATATATATATTATGTATATCTCTATTATATTATTATATATATATATATATATATTCTAATGTATCTATATATATTAATATATAAATATATATATATTCTATATGTGTGTGGTAGATAGATAGGTAGATAGATAGATAGATAATAATAGATAATATATGATTATTGAGTATATAATCACTATATAATCTATAAAAAAAAAAAATCAGATATTATATATAATAATATAATATATATATATATATATATATACACATATAACTATATCTAGAGATGATATACAGATATATGGTATGCATATATATATATAATTTATATATATATTATATATATATATATGATATATATCTAATATACTCTATCTATTATATCAATATCTATATATATCTATATATATAAGTATCTATTTATATCTATATCTATATATATTATATATATATATTATATTATCTGATATATTATATATATTATATATTTATTAAATATATATTTAAATATCTATACTATAATATATATATCTAACTCTATCTTTACATATATATCTTAATATGTATTATACATATAATATCTCTCTATACTGCATCCATACTATACTCTAGATATATATCTATATCATTATAATCTCTATATATATATATCCACTACATATACTATTATATCTCTATATCTATACATATATCCTATATCTATACCATCTCTCTCTCCTCTATATACTATATCATATATATATTCCTAATATCCCTAGTATATCGTCTATATATATATATAGATCTAGCCTTATTATATATGATCTTCTCTCTCTCATATCTATATATATATATATATCTCTAATATGTGTATATATCAATATATATATATGTATATATATATCTCTATCTATATCTATCTATGTATCTCTACATCGATCCTATCCTCGATATATATCTCTCTCTATCTATATTAATCTCTGTCTCTCCCTCTCTCTATCTGTCTATCTCTATCTATCTCTATCTAGTCTATATCTGTTCTGTCTATCTATCTCTCTCTATATACTCTCTCTTCTGGGGGGGGGTATTGTTCTATCATATATATCATATCTCATCTCCTCGCTCTCGACTCTCTCTCTGTATTCTCTCTAGTCTGTGTATCTCTATATATCATATCTCTCTATCTCTCTCTCTCTTCTCTCTCGCTCTCTATATATATATCTCCCTATGTGTCTCTCTCTATATCTATCTAAACTCTACTATCTCTACTATTATTCTCTCTCTCCTCTATTATCTGTGTTTGTGCTATATCCTCTATACCTCTCTATCTCTCTCTCTCTATCTCTCTCTCTCTCTCTGTGTTGTATATATACAATATCTCTCTCTATATTATCCTATACTCACTCTATCTATATCGTCATATGTGTGTTTAATCTCTATTCTATATCATATCTTATTCTAGATCTCTAATATCATCGTTATATATATCTAGCTATCTATCTCTATATACAGTGTGTGTGTATATCTATCTCTATATATAATATCTCTATCTATACTATAACTATATACTCTACATATATATCATCTATGTTGTGTATCTATATCGATCATCTATCTCTACTATATATATCTCTCTCTATACTCTATATATATGTGTGTGTCTCTCTCTCGTATAATCTATCTCTCTATATCTCTTATATACTCTCCTATATACTCTAATAGGATATATTATGTGTGTGTATAGATATAGTCTAATATTATATTTATATATAGTCTTTGTTTCTTATCTATACCTATCTATGTTTGTCTCGAATATCCATCTCCTATATATACTGTCATTATATATATATATATATATGTTTGTTACATCTATATTGTTAGTTAATTTTTTATTATTGATACTATTACATATTAATTATAGTAGGTTTGTTTTCTTATATATTGGTGTTCTATAGGTGTATCATTATCTCTAATATGTGTACTATTATGATATATATAGATATCATATAAGATATATATATAGATATATAATAAATAGATATATACTATATATGTGGATATAATAAGATATATAGATAACATAAATAAAAAGAGATTTATATATTATATATATATATTTATATGTAGATATATGTGTAGATAGTACAGGGTAGATAGATGATAGATGATGATCATAGATAGATATACCACACACTGTATATGATATATATAATCTATATATCTATATAATCTATATAATAACATTTATCTAGTAATATATATATAGATCTATAATATATATATCTAGAATATTATATATAATATATTATAATATTATAATACCAATTATCTTGTATTATATATTATTATTATATATATAAGATACATTGATAATTATAATATACACATAGATATATATATATAGCTAGATTTCCAGATAATTTATGCATATTATACTATGTAATATATATATATATATATATATATATATATATATATATATATAAATATATATATATATAAATATATATATGTTTTTATCCTCAG